GTAAGTATCATTTTCATCGTTCAAGAAATTCACAAAAGGGTCTAGGTATGTATAGTATGAGCTCATGAGTTCCACAAAAAGTGTTGTCACCAACACAGTCATAGACATTTAATGTCATGTTCGTCTCCCCATTTTTTCAAGGTTCAAAAGTATTATGCCTGTCGCCCTCTACAGCTCATTTAAACGTGCTACAATTTGCTCACCGTTAGTTTCATCTGCGTTGAGTTGTTCACGTTTTAGAGGCGGCAGCACGAAGTTTTGCACGGGGTGAGATTTGCTCACCAACCTTGCGCCGAAGAGGGTCCGGTGGCATGTCCCCCTCAAAAATTTGGAAATATAGACCCTCTGAACGCTATTTCCTGCATTTTGAGGGGCGATGGTTTCAGCTTGATTTTGGAAGGGCGACGCCCCCAACATTTTTTCGAGGGGGCGACCGCCCCTTCTGCCCCCCTTCTGCCGTCGCCACTGCGTATGATTCATTAAGAATGTTGGGATAAAGCCTTTCGTATATATACTATAGGTACATCACGTTTTAATTTAAGACGATGCAGTAGTTCGCGTATGCATTGTGTGTGTAATCTCGTATACGGCATTTGCATATTTCCCACATCTTCGGTTATTCAATATTTAATCTCCGTCAAGTTTATATATTAAGTTTCCTTAACACGCTCTATTGCAGCCCCCCCCCCCCTCCCCACTTCACATTAAATACATAACATGATTAATTTATTGGAACCTTGTGAATTAAGTTATCGAGTTGCCGACTTCCTCTTTCATCATAATCACCATCACGCGCGTGTACACATGTCTCAACGGCCGTGTATATTCGAGATGGTGTCGTGACTTCTGTTAAATGCTAGTAAACGAATCAAAACGAATGTCAACAAATAAATATAAAATTTTACGTTTTTGTAATTAGAAAAGGAAAACATTTAACAATTTGTTGGGGCCCATTCCCTAAAGTTTATCATTCACCCCAGGCTTGGACAGAAGCTCACGAACTTTAATAATTTTGACCACACCCATTTTTCAAATCGCAATTAATAATAACGTAGAATATACAACGCTGATTTATGGTAAAGACGTAAACAAGATGCTCACATTTCACGATGGTTTTGGTTTGTTTTACGTAACAATTATAATTCATTATCAATCATTTACATTCAAAGTAACACATTTTCGCAGGTAGCATATACGTTTTCTTCAAAAACTAAGAGTTATAAACTTATTAATTATTATGAAGTATTAAGCGTCATGACAACCGTTTGGTGCTGATTCGTGTTGAGACCATGTCGGCATTGTGGAATAGAACATCTTACGAAGAAAAAGAAACTTTTCAATTGTACCATTCTGTGTCCATGAACACACTGGGTGTGATGCTGGGGGTAATCATCAGCGTCGGATTGTGGTGGATAGAATGAAACTGTGTGACTGCACCGTATTTTCTGAATTCTATGACTACTGTACCCAGCAGCAATGTCAACACTTCGTTCTATTTTATAAATGGCGACATTCATTTGGTAAAAGTGCGGAAAATCATCTTGAATAGTGACTCTCGATTGGCATCTAAATTACTTTGGTCACGTGCAAGCAAGCAATATGTTGTACTACGCATCATTCTCTGCTCATCGATTGTCCCCCAGGGTTCTTCACTTGTATAGCCTCTTGAACGAGAGTACACAGTGGGCAGCAAAACACCATCAAACAGTCGTTGAGCGTATCGCCTTCTATACCATATTTTTCACGTACCCGACCACGGACTTTTACGAGGCAGACCATGTTGAGAATCGGAACAAACAAACTAAGGGCGTAGGTACAGCAACTTTCTCCAAGGGTTTCGGCGGTTTTTCCGAAGGTGTAGCAGGGAAGGATATAAGTGACGACACAGAGGCCGCATTCGCTGAAACATCCAAATAAGCCACTGTCCCACTCAGTCATTTTGATGTCGACTATTTCTTTCGTCGTTCACCCAGCTGCGAGAGATAATGGAGGGTGTTGTTTCACCAGTCACGACAATTGAAGTACTGAGAGCTAGGGCGATGATATGCCATGTACCCGGCGGTGTTTATTTTTGCAATGACAGCGTTGTCATGGAGCAACAAGAAATTTGAATCTGAAAATAATTGGCTCAAACACACTCACAAAAATTAAATACGTAAATGGGTGGCATATTGTCGATGAAAAATGTCTTAAAACAAACATATCGACAATATGCCATCCATTTATTTATTATCGTGTGCAGACATATACAAATATCATATGTTGGAGAAATGCTAACTAAACATCTCGTGACGTAATCTCGCGTATAAGTGTTCTGCTGAGATTCCCGATATATACTGAAAATACGAATCTAATGACAGTGAATTACGATATATTGAAGGGGCAAGGAGGTAGTAGTTGGTAAATGTTACAGGAAATAAAAACGGCATTTTACGTTTTTACGTTTATGAAAGTTCCATTTACAGTAAAAAAATGGGTGATTACACTTTAAGAGATAAAGCAAATTCCTAATTACAATATTTTTGATAATTTGTTTTTAAGAATACAAATTGGGAATTGCGTACGAATTACAACATTTAATTTGGAATATGCCTTATATGCTTACAAAAAATAGTATCTTTGTACAAGTTACGGACGAAATAAATACACCTTGCCCATGTCTACGAATTTACGTTTTTTTTTATTTATTTAAATTACAATACTGCGAAAATAAAAACAATTGATTACACCTCACACCATTGCCGACCCTCATTGAACGCAAAGTATTCAACCCGAAAATGACATTTGGAGTCGGAAATTTGCTTCCAATTTCTCAATTTTCAGTTTCGCAGCAGTTCTATTCTGAAAAGTTCGACCACTTATCAATGTAAGCGTGAGAGAAGTAAACGGCGTTTTATGCTAATTAGTCAGAAGTGTAGAAAATAATATACTTACGCAGGGGCGGATACAGGATTTTTTTATGCGGGGGTCCAAACTTTAAAATCGCCAGACTAAGTTAATGATTTTTTTTTATAATATACAAAAACTGAATACATTTTTCAACGGGGGGGGGGTCCGGACCCCAAGAACCCCTCCTCCCCCTAGATCCGCCACTGTTACGTCACCGGCGGATCCAGAAATTCGATAAAAGGGGCGCGCTCCTATTGACGTAGCCAAAGGCAACGTCTGTGTAGTTATCGTTGTTGTTTTTTGCGGGGTAAAGGGGGGCTGGCGCGCCTCCCCCTAAATCCGCGTGTGACACCGTTCTACTTTGCTAAGACGCACAATAAATAACTAGCCCAAAGTACAGTTTTGCCGGGTGTGTTTGCATATGCTACGGATTGGTTACTCCCTATCACGTCAGATATTTTAACATTTTTTAAAAACTGTTTGTCCTGTGATAGGCATGCCTTATTACATTCCATCACTTCACATTTAATGTATTACTAAATACATTACATGATTAATTTGTTGGACCTTGTGATTTAAGTTATCGAGTTGCCAACTTCCTTTTTCATTCTCATCAAAATCACGCGCGTGTACACCTGTCTCAACGACCGGGTAGCCTCGAGGTCGTGTTATGTCAACAAATAAATATAAAATTTAACATTTTTATATTTAGAAAGTGAAAACAAATATTTATTTTTCATTTGACAATTTGTTGGAGCCCACTCCCTATGGTTTCTCGTTTATCCCATGCTCGGACGGAAGCTCATGAACTTTATTAATTTCGATCTCACCCATTCTTCAAATCGCAGTTAATATTAAACGTACAATATACAACGCTTAAACAAAAAGAAGCAATAGTTTTAAAAGAGAAATCCGTTACTATACCACTTGTTGATATCCAGCTTGACATAGCGTTATGAAGTAAAAAAAAAAGGTGCTTACATTTCACAATATTGTAAATTCGCAAGCCCGCTGAGTTAATTGTACGTACAATTAACTCAAAATCATTGCGAATGTACGTAGTTAAGATACTAGGATAGATAAATAGATACCTTAAATTAGTTAACGATACATGTTGATCTTTTTTTCCATATTTCTCAAATCACGAAAATCAATTACAGCGATTTTCATCGTCCAAAATAATAACCAACAGACTACGACTTTTTAGATTAAAATGGCATCCCATTCAATTATAATTAGATACGGTATTAAAACGTTGACAATACAACCGGGTAAGCCAATGCATACATATTAGTCATCATATAGAACGGTTGACTATTTTTGGGGAAATTAAGGATATACCCAAGAACTTTAGACACAAAACATGATACGAGTTCGGTTCACATACATGTCCCTTTTGAAATAAATGAACGAAAACTATTGAAATAGGCTCCCAGTTTTGAGAAAATTTCAAGAATTACGCAACATGTGACGTCAGTTTAGTCATGGCGCCAGTATGAAATCGCGCCATCTACCGGTATACCGTAGCAGTGCGTAGCCAGAAAGTCGTGACTTTCGGCTTCACTGACAAGTTTCTTTTAGTTATTACACGTTGCTATCATAGCTTACTTCAATAATTCTCAGTTAACCACATTTCGGGTCTAACAAAAACAGCCAAGTGACTGAATATTTAACACGATGTGAACGGGTGACGTTAGATTGTCGACAGTCATTTGTACCTAATATTAATCTGTTATTATTAATAAATATTGTGTATAAACGTTATAGGTTGAATAAATTGCGAACGCCTAGACAGGAAGTATGGAATATCGATAGGCACGACCGAGTCACGGGACTAAAGTCCCTCGCGTGAAACTGTTCGCATTTCCCATCAAACGCCTTTGGCGTTTGGATGTCTAGGAAACACAATTACATTAGACAGTTTAGGGTGACGTCAGCAAGTTTTCGATCTAACTTAAAAGGAAGTAGTCGTCGCGATATTTTTGTTGATAAATATTGATTTTCAAACAGTCCAATGCGATTTTCTTTAATGGGAATTGCAAATCATTTAACCCTTATGATGTTGATCAGAAAAGTTAGATATGGAGAATTCACAACGACTCATTCAAGACAGTGATATAATACATTGTGTCACCATGTTAATGAACACGTCCACTGCGCATTTACGATAACATAGCAACAGACGGGGAGGTTTCATTTCGATCGATGATCAGAAAATTTGGGTTGTTTTATGTACAATTATAAATAAAACATCTTACGAAGAAATAGAAACTTTTCAATTGTACCATTCAAGTTCTGGGACCATGAACACACTGGGTGCGATGCTGGGGAGGGCGGGGTGGTAATCTTCAGCTTTCAAGTTGGGCTATGGTTGATAAAGTAAACTCAATGCCTACTGTACCTACACCATCAAATGTTAAAAACAAGCTTAAACATATCGACAACGTGCCACCCATTTAATTATCATCGTGTTGAGACATATACAAATATGTCAGAGAAATGCCAACTAAACATCTCGTGACATAATCTCTGAGTATAAGTGTTCCTTCGGTTAAAGTGTCGTTTCTGTCGAGAACAACGAGATTGACCGGGCCACCGAACATTAGTCGTGTTAAACTTCAATGCACAATACTGAAATTACGTCCGATTGCAAAATTCATTGGTTAACTAGACACTGATAAGTAATCGTTTGCGCCTTTCTCGACGCTTTACATGTCTTAATGTTTTTACACAATTAAGAAATTAAAAGTGCAAACTAGTTTTTGTTGCCTTTTTTTTTTTTTGCGATCACTTTCCATTTTTGCACTATTTCGCGTTTTTTAACGAAACACATGTTCGAATTTTGTGTAAAAAAACCCATGTATTTTACAAGCGTTGTATACGTCGTGTATTTGTCTCATATCGATGTTGCGGAACGACTGTATCGTAAAGCCATTTGTATCTATCTTCCAGCCAAGAACCACAGTCGGTGTTTAATGTGGGTTATGTTACAATCATTCAGTGGCTGATCTAGGGGGTTCTGAACAAATGAAATAAATAATAACTACAAGTTGCAAGTTACTGTAAATGAAAAGCCAGCCCGACCAGCGGTATCTCTGCTGTGCTATTAAAGTATTTGTTTTGCCCGACCCCCCCCCTCAGGAATAATAAATGATCATTCCCTTAATATCCCTTAATATGTAACTGTACTTCAACAAACGCGTATATCGGGTGGAATTCAAACACTTTTCACAAGTCGGACATATGAGCGTGGGTAATTTATACCCACATTTATACTAGAGAGCAGCAACAAATTAAATTTACTCTCACGGTGATGGAAGCACTACGATGTTGGCAGACAAATTGTGTAAGCCCCCCCACACATTAATACATTGGAAATTCAACAGCTTCTGATGATTGAGTTATACAAAAAGTGTCCCTATTGACGTTCACATCAATTCTTGCACCATTAGTAATACAAATCAAGTCTCTCTCGTGTGTCGTTACGTACATCGACGTAAACAAATGCCCCTAAGTCGAGGCATAGTCGAGGATGCCCGAAAAAAGAAGGCCACTTTAGGATCTTTCAATTATAAAGTTCTTGGTAGTTGGTCCCATGGAAAATTGAGCATTCGCTTTTGTATCCGGCCAACACACGGCAAGGTCAAATGGGATAAGATACTTATTAGAGAAGCCCGGCGATGAACCAACATTTGGAAAGAAAGTCATTGACTATTGACGAAAAATATCGATGAAAATTATAGGAAAGGAGCGAGGAAATACATTTCAAAAACATATTTTGCATGAAGGGGGAGTTATAAAGGTAATAAAGATAACAATTAATTTCAGAACATTTTTTCCCTGATATTGCATCTTGATAATTTTAATCAAGCGCCGCGCCCTGTTCGATATGTGACTCATAGCGACGTACACAACGCGTGTAAAATACTATCAGTGCATTGTTTGTTTACATGAAATTTGAATACGCACTGTGCGACTACCACCGCATTTTAACCGAATATAGAGTTACGGGCAATCTAGTTCATTTGTTGTTGTTTAAAAAACATCCC